CATCTATGACATGATATACGTTGTTTGGGATGATTGAAGTAGGAAGCCGTGTTTTGGCACTAATCCTCGGATCTTATTCAAGTCATGCATCACCAATGTATTTTATTATGCTTTGTGCTTGCCGCTAGCAATAATTGTTTTTCAAAAATTTTATGAGTTTGGTATCCAGTATCTGGTTTGTTACTCTAGTAACTACATTTAGTATGCTTTCTAAATTAGTCACTTCAATCTTTTATAAGGCTAAGATAGCTGCAAATGAATTTTTATAGTTGTGTATCCGTACGTGAGGATGTCACATCAGCCCATGGATCCGAGTGTGAAACGGCACCAACCCCATCGATTTCAATCACGACGACTATGGACACTAAGGAGATTGTGGAACAATTGATTATGCTAGATCCGCAAAAAGCTAATGTCATTGCAAATCTCATCAAACGGCGTCAGTCCAGCAACAAACGGAGAAGCGGTAGCAAACAGGTCAGTGATTGAGTTCGTTAGTTCGGACTATCTATTTTTTATTTTCTAGTTTTTTTGCTACTTCAAAGGTGGCGAAGCATAACTTTGTGCTCCGATATTTTTGCGATTGTTTTCTTTAAAACAAAACGCGTTGGTAGCACCTGTTGACACAGTAGACAAAATCGCTTAGGTGATCATTTTTGTTATCATAATTGTTGTAAATGCGGACATACAGAGACAGGAGGCATGAACATCTAAATTGTCCCAGTGCACCGGTAATTTTCAGCTGCGTTTTATATTCATTCACCCCTTCATTCCTGATTTGAATATATGTGCAATTAAACTCCCCATGAAATCTTTTTGATCGTATCGATGTTTATTTTAAATTTGCAGGAGCACGCTCCCAAAAGGGCTCGTCCAGCTAGCGCTGCAAGTGAAGATGCCAAAAAGAGCGAGGAAGAACCGACGCCGACGGCTCGTGTCAGCAGAAGAAGCACCTCGCGTACCTCTTCCGTTAAAGATGGCCGCGCTTCCAGTGCTGCAAGCATGAAACTCGAAGTTTCGCCTGTTTGCATAGATGGAACCAGCGGCATTGTTTCCCGAGAGATCTCACCTGTTTCCCATGTACAGAACCTCTTCGAATCTCCGTTGGTGGAAGAACGCAAGTGCGATGCAAACTCGTCAAAAGATGAGTTGGAAATAAGAAAGCAGTACAGAGAAGCTGTTAAACGAATGCTTCGCGAAAAAGTGTCGACACTGCTTGAAGCTACCATTGCCGATCTCCAAGGCCTACGAATTGGACCACGAGAACGACATGATCGGCGGAATAGCAAGGAAAGGAAGAATATGTGGGCTGTTAACTGGGAACATGTCAAGAAAAGGC